TAACTATAACTCAATACCATAGACGCCGGAGAGAACTTTTGCCAGACACATAGCTCTTAGTCTCTTACATTCTTTACATAAATTGCCCAAGCACAGAACAACAAAGCAGCATGCACGAGTTGTTTTCAGCATGAGCTACTGTGCATGCACGAAAATTTAAAAAAAGAGGCAAAACCAGCATTACGATCTTTCAAGCTTTTATAAAAACTTACCCTTGCTCATCAGAAAGCTTTTGAAACAGTCTGAGAAATCAGAAACCAGAAAAGAAAAGATTCAGTGTCTTGATATTCATAACAACATTAAAACCACCAGTACGTCAGCACTCACACTAAGTGAAGGGGAAACTGAAAGCTTGAGGACCAGTCAGCATGGAATAGCACATCGAAGATCTGACACCAGTCAAAAAACATATTAAGACTTGCACGATGTGTAAATCAGGCAGAAAACTGACAGAACAAGGCTGCCTGCAAGTTTCCAACGCTTCTGATTTAGCAATACTGCACAAACAGAGCCTTGTATTAATTCTGCGCCACTAATTCCAGTGCTGCTGAACAGCACGATGCTCACAAGATACTCATTTCAAGAAACAAAAATTAATGCCAACTTGAGTCCCAAAAAGAAGCCTGGCTTACAGAGGCTGTTTTCTTGTTACTTCAACTATGTCTGATACTAAATGAAACTAACACTTGGAATGGATAAGAATAAAAGGCCCTATATATAAGTTTAGCCCCTGAAGTGGAGAACCAAATTCATCCAGTGTGATTTAAGAGGATTTTTAGTAATCTTGAAGATGAGTATTTTATTCTATCAAATGAAATTCTTAAAATGTGAAATATTCTCAAGCACTTTAGAAATATTCCTCAGTGAAGCTCACACTCTGTTAACAGTATTAAGCTTAAAAATTAAATGCAGCAACATCAAAGTATCAACTGAAACATGGAAGCGTCTTAGTCACAAAGTAATGGTGCACAGCCGGGACAACTGCAACTTGCAATGCCGTATTTTCAGAGCTAAGGAAACATTTGAAACTCTACTCTCCCCAAGTAAGTACAAAATCTAAAGGAGAGGTAGGAAGTAGTTAAAACCAGTATTCACAGAAGAGAAATTTCAATTATACCAGGAAAGGATTAGGCAAAAGTATTAATTAGGACTGTATGAAAGCAGGGGGGAAATACTGGTAGGTAGAATAAAATATGTCACAGTGAAATTACTTGGACACACACCTTGCATGCACTGTGACTTTGAGTGGGCAAAACAACACTAGTATTTTTTTCCAACTCATCTAATCATCTCAAAACTGTGGCAGGACAGTTTACAAGCATTTTCAAACTCAGGTGCAAGCAATAATATCAGAATGCTCATTTCCAGAATTTGTCTTTAAAGCATTCATGTTTTTCAGAAGCATTTTTACCAATTACATTGGTGAGAAAAAGGAAGTATTTCTAGTTTCCACAGTCTTTTGAATAATCAGTATTCCTGTTCAACAATGGAAAGAAACTTATGTAAAACTTTGAGCCTGAAGGAATGATAATATATTTTCTCTAAAACAGCAGGCTAAAACTAGGAAACATGGCAATTTTATTGTTGAAAATATGGTATTGCAGTCATGAGCTTCTATTCAAAGCAAATAAAAAGCTTGTCCAGGACGCCACGAACAAAGAGCAGATTGGCACTCTACCAATGGTTCAGCACAAGATGATACTTTTCTGAATGGAAAGGGTTCAACTGCACTCAAGCGTAATTCGTGCAGGACACAACCTGACCTCTCCACCATCTGTCGTTTCTTGTGTCTGACTTTGCTGGCCTCCCTGATCGCTTCCCACTTCTTCCAGTCTTCTTCACTGCATGGACCGGGGATGAAATTTACTGGCTGGACATTGCTTCCCACCTTCCAAGATTCAATCTTGCGGGTCAGCATATCGTCCTTCTTGAGGCGAGAAGACGGTGACAACACTCTGCCATTGCTCTTTTTTTCCTCTGGTGTTGTGTTCTTTTCAAGCAAACATAGAAATTTGGACCGGATCTCCTCTGGAAGACTCCATGGATCAGGAAAAAGTGCTGGGTGATACTTGTCTGGAGCGCCCGATAAAGGCACCTCTTTTTTCTGAGAGAGGATTTTACGGAAAATCATGTCATCCTTTTCCAAATCTGGAATCACAGGTTGGCCCTCTCTAGGTTGCAGAATTATCTCACCCTCTAGGGGAGGGTCCTGCTCAGAGAATTTTTTTAAATACCGGGGGTCTTGGAGAACAACTTGATTCACATGGAAAGCCCCAGTTTTCCGAACGAACAAGTCATCATTTTCTAAATCTGGATACAGATATCCATTTTCTTCGTTTCCTTCCTTGCATCCTGGTACAAAGGAAATATTCTTTCTACATTTTATGAGCCTAGGGCCAGAAGTAGGATCAATTTTGGTCTTTGTTTCAGAAGACAAGTAGTCAGAGTATTTTTGCAGGGCCTGAAGTAACGAAAACTGACTGAAGCATATAAAACAAAAGGAGGGAAGTAAAAATATCATTAACTAGCAAAAGACAAGCAGATCACAATGTATTGTGCGATACACGTTTGGTTTAGACTTGCAGTATCCCGAGCAGAACAACTGCGCCACTTGGCATTCACCACCACTAACTGTAGCATAGCACACGTCAACCAACATAAAGGTATTACGGCATACTAACCTGCTCGGGTACAGCACGCTTACATGCTCACACACAAAGCCAGTAACCCTATGCAGGGTTACTACACGTGTTACGCTTTTGTATTTACATGTTTCAGAAGACCAGCAGCTTACGGCTACGTTTGGAAAAAAACCATACCAAACCCAACAACAAAATAGTAACAACCAAAAAAAAGCGCAACATCACAGGACGCGGTTTAATTTCGTTTAGCTGTTGCATATCCAGCCATTTCTTTTTGATGCAGCAAGAGTACAGCTCATGCAGCAATATCAACCTGGGTTGATCAGAAGCCTCCAAGATTTTTCCTTCTGCAATCTGTGACAATGAGCTTCCCACATATTCAGCAGTTGGCTTATAACTCTGATCCCTTCTGCAACTGCTGTTCCAGTCAAAACTTGGTCTTGGTTGATTAGCAACAATGGCAGAGCTTTGTTTGTAAGCAAATTCCTCATCCTCAGAATCTGATTTCTTTCTACTGTGCATGCAGCAGCACAAAAAATGGGCAGAGGGAAAGAAAAAAAAAAACCACAAACACCCATGAAGTGTACTCAATGAGTAAAATGCACAGTGGCAACAGTAATTAAAATAATATTTCAATTATTTTCTCAAAAAAAAAAAAAGGAAGATGAAGAGAAAACATATCCTGCTGCTACACTGGCAATAAATACAAAAAACAAAAATAAAGTCAGACAACTACACCTTATTTCTAGGTTTTGCACATAAGAGAGAAACAGGGGCATGCATGAAAACGCACCTGAACCCTTGAATCTCTTTATACCAAGGTTTGAAAGAAGATTTCCTGATTTTTTTCCATAGCAATTCTTCTTCTGGAGTCCAAAACTTGGGAAGAAATTTGTCAAAAGCAACCACTGTATTTGCTGCTGAAGAACTTAGCTTGCGAAAATAGAGATCATCTTTTTCAATGTTTGGGATGCCTATTTCTTCTTCCTCATCCTCATCAAAATACCCAGAAAATTCTGAAGGAATGTTAACTCTCGGTTTGTTTTCCTCTTTAGTGTCCAACTGCCTCTGCCTCCTCTGGTTACTGTTCAAAATACCCAATCAGTTAAGATATTTTAGGAGCAACTTGACATAAAGAATGCAAAAACACATGCTTTTTTGGCTCAGGAGTTCAACCTCATGAATGACCAAATTAGTTCTCAATTCCATCACTGCAGCACCAGAAATAACAATATATATATATATAAAAAAAAAAAAAGAGTTAAATGGTTATATCAGCATCCTATTGCCTCCAAGAAAAATACAAAGTTTGGCAGAAAAAGGCATAACAAATTATCAGTTGTGTTAAAATGCAAATTAGAAGACTAACTTTATGGAGCTATTTATGGACTGCAATTTAGGTAATGCAATAGTTACTGGATCTTGGATTAGTATCTCTGACCTCAGTGGTTCAAGCATTGCAGCTAGTGGACCAGCTGGAAAACTTTCTTGTGAGCAAGATTTAGGAGAGTCATTGCGCAACACGAAATGATGTCCAGGTGCAGCAGAGCTTACAGGGCTCTTTTTGACTAGAAATCTACGTTTTGCTAAGTCATCCATAACCACGTCGGGCAGCCTTCTTTCATCTTCTGAATCAGAGCCACTGTCATACTCATAGATCATCTGGAGGGAAGCTGGATTTGAGAGCCCACACTCTGCTCTGCTATTTTGGCAGGAAGCTACAGGATTCCTTTCACATCCACTGAGGTTGACCAAAACAGGAACAGAATGAAGACAGTGAAGTCATGAAGGCAATGATGAAACCCAAGAACTGCCCACTAATCTTATCTGTACATACCAGAAGATGGACAATCGAAAATCGTCACCATATTATGGAAGGCTTAAATGAGAAACCAAAACTGTAGGTCTATCTCTCATGAACTTGCATTCAAGGTCATTTAAATCCCCTCTATCTGGAGTCTGACCAGCCACAAAAGAGTACTCAAACACCAGAGAACTAGTTACGTGGAATGAAGTACAAAAACAAAAATGAAACCAAAAAAAACCCAACCACACGACCACACCAAAACACCATTCCCCCATTAAAACATGGAAACTCAAATAGTTTACTTTTTATTGCAGCAACAGCAGCTTTTCTTTAACTAATAAAGAAATTATTTATTTAAAAAGTCCTAAATCAAAGTCTGCTTTACTAAGACAGTATACCAGTACCTTGAAAATGTTCCGTCTGACTCGGTGAAGACTGGACTTGCCCAGCTCCTCCTGTTGTCCTCATTCTTCTCTGTCCTCTTCTTCCTTAAGGGTGCTGGCACATAGGATGTCTGCTTGTTTTTGTTGGGTAAGAAGCGATTGAAGTCAGCGGTAGGTTTCGGTTCAATCACAGAGATCCTACGGTAAGCCCTGTCATCTTTATGGGAGTCATGCATTTTGAAAGGCAGTTCCGAGTCTGTGTCACTGTCGCAACCTTAGAAGAAAGGGGAGAAAAGAGACGGCACAAACATTAGCCTCTAGACACAAGCTTCTAGCTAGAACTTGCATTGAAATCTTCTAAAATTAATTTAACTCCATATTGGGGATGTTTCGGCTGCAAATTGGCTGAGCTACCGACAGGACGGTAGGAGAGGTATTTTTAGAAGTTTGCGACAACACTGTGATAAGGTCCATTAAGCTCAGATTCGTCTGTATGCCCCTGCTACATTTGTTCCATTCTTTCATTATCACTGCTTCCTGCACGAAACAAAGCGCTAACCTCTAGACTGAAGACGTAAAACAGCACAGGAGTTTTTAATTAGAAACATACTTACCACTCAAATTTACTAACAAAGACAAGTTACCAGCAAATAGTATAGCAACATGCGCATCTCACCAGATTAACACCCCATGGAAGTCCAGGGAACGTCACATATGTAGCATGGCTACATGTTGCTTTGCTTAGATCACAAATGCTCCACGTGGCCTTGGCCCAACCATTTTATGTTATTCACATGGAACAAAATCCAAAAGCTCACTATTTTTATAACTTCAAATTGACTACAAGTTTGTGTTGAATTATAAAACCAGGAGAGAAACACAGGTTACAGTACAGCTGTAGGGATCCAACATCCCAAACTTTCTTCTTGTTATCTTTATTTCCATGGCAAACTATCAAAAGTAACAACTACTATTCAGTTTTTAACCTAGGCAGGAAAAAGCCCTAGTGAATGTACAATATTCACAAATGGAGCGAAAACATAAGAGGATTGACATATCCACACTAAGGACAAGGCAAGAGGCTTTTGCGACTGTTGCATTTTAGGTGATCTCATCAGGATCTGAATTCTAGCAATGTCCTTTCCCAGCTAGGGGAAAACACCCTTCACATACACACGCCCTAATGCAGCAGTGAGAGCAAGAGTCCCAGCAACCCTTCCTAGGGAAATTCATGCACACGTGGCTTTGTTTCTACCAACTGCTAAAGGTTAATATTTGCTTAAGCAAAATGCAACTGTGGCAGTTGCAAAACCAGAGTTGATTTTCAAGCCAATTTAAGTACTGGGCACCCGAAGTACTAGGTCTGTACATTGTCTTCTTTCACACTCATAAGACATATGTCAACAACAGATTTAAAAGAGGAAATAACATACCTTCACTGCCACCTTTCAAGGTTATATCTGATGAAAAGCTTGTGGAGGATCTTGAACCAAGAGAGTCCAAGCTATCAAAGGAATCGTCTCTTTTATGGCTAGTTGAAGATGAAAAGGGCTCTCCCCGGTCAATGTACCAAATATCACCGTAGCCACTATCCCTGCCACTTCTGTTCAGGTGGCCAGACTCTTCAAGTGCCTGTGAGAGTAAGTTTTGAAAGGTCTTTTGCAATAATTTAAGGTGCAAGTGCAACTTGTCAGTTCTTGCTCAAAATTTTTTAAAAACGCATTTTGAGTGCACAAATGGACTTTATCAAGAACTACTACAAACCGCAAAAAAACCCACCCATGTACAAAAGCTTGAATAGGAGATTCAACACAAGGTCTTAAATTTCTCTTATCTTAGCTAAAAGGAATCAAGACAAGGCTTTTCACAATCTACCACATTGATAGAAGCAGGTGGATTCTGAATTTCATGATTATAGAGGTAGCAGGAGAACCACTGTAAGCTGAAAATCATTCCTTTCACATGGACTTTGACAGCAAGCAAAACAAACGACTATGTTCTCTAAACTAAGAATAAAATTATATCCCCAAGACATTGTTTAGAGTTGATGCTGTAACGCATAACAAACTATAAAATTCAGGCTATTTGTTTACTATTCTTTTTGGCTTCCTTACCTTAGTCAATGCTTGCCCTAATAACTTCTCAAATGCTTTAAGATTGAGGTACGGACCATTATAATGAGGGTTACTTTGAGCTTTTCTCCCAAGCCAGTATAATGTAATCAAAACCTAAAAACAAACAAACAAAAAGCCAAATACAAATTCAATTACTTTCTTCTCATACAATGTACCCGTATAAAAGAATTTCAGCATGCTGTTAGAGATGTTTTCCACAATGAATTATAAAATTTTGTTTACACTATTAGCTATGATCTCCATCAAAGCCAATTAAAGAGTGTTACAATGCATCTCATGTATCTCAAGTAAACAGATATAAGTACTGTTTCTAATTATTATATTTATTTGGGAAAGTCAGCCGCGTAGAAATTATCGTAAAATGGCACTACTTTGTAACAGATAAATGAACCGCTGAAAAATAAGGTAAACATGACAGTGCCATAAACAGAAGTATTTCAGAAGTATCTAATCATAATTAGTGTAAAATTGTTTCAGAAAGCATTGAAGTATGTCTTACATTTTTCACTCTTCTGTTGGTCTCCTCTGGTCTGAAGGAGGGAAGGGAGTGAGAAAAACAAAAGAAAACAAGAAGTTTTAAAATATCTAACTTAAAATTTAATTATTCAAGATTTAAAAGGTTTCAAGACTAATTAGAGGCCAGCATGAAGTATGCAACTATGACTATTCTAAAAGGAATAAAAAGCATTTTGCTTTGAATTCATAGTCATAACTCTATGCTATTTCAATTGTTACATATAAAGTGAGAAACCAGCTGATCTTAGTTTCCCATTTGAGAGGTACTCAGAAAGGCTCTAGGCTTTTTTTCACTAGCTAAGGTTTCTAGTTGCCAACAAAACAGAAGTGGAAAATAAGCTAATGACTTTGGGAAGTATAGTGTCTATTAGCCAGGAAGATCTTCAGTTCCATGTGAAAGCAGAGTCAATTGTTACTTTTTCCCTGATTGCATTATGTTTTCTAAAATATTTGCCTCAGACATAAAGAACGCTTCAGCCTAGAGAGAATTTTTCAGATTTAAAAGAAAAAAGAGCAACTGAAACTGGGACATATGGAGAGAGATGTTGTAGGGCTGGAAGGAGGGCTTTGGTTTGCTTTTATGCAAGATATGTGCTTCTCAAAACATACTAAATAAATGCACAATCACTAACATTAGTAAACTTTTTTTTTTAATATATAGCCATCTATCTATCTATCTATCTATATACACATGGGTCTGCTTGAGCAGTAAACTTCATATACAGCATGGTGAAGAATTTCAAACAAAAAAGCAGAGAATTAACATACAGTGGCAGAAGGACTTACACAGAGCCCTGTAACAGGTCAGACCAACTGGCACAGGTATCAAGGCACCTACCCAATTTCTGGCTGTCTAGGAACAAGCTAGTCAAAGGTTGCAGGGACAAGGTAGAATAAACCCTTCAGGGGATAGGTACGAGTTAGCAAAACGATGTCAGGGCCTGGTCAGCATAAGCAGCACTCTTCACAGAAATACAATATTTGATACAACGTGACAACCAGCAGGAACAGAGACTGTCCCTCCTTCTCTTTCTTCCTAACTTGAGCGTGCCAGCTCCCACTCGATGCAGCTGGAATTGCCTTGCTCTTGCCCCACATCATAAAGAAATCAGGCTGCCAAGAACACAAAGTCCTGAGATGGATCCGACCTGTGCAATCCCTACCTGCAGCTTCCTTAATATTACGTGCCAGAGATGCTACTGGCTTTGTAGTCAGTGACCTCTTCTTCATGGATAAGGAAGAACCCTTCTCCTTTAATGTGAAATATTTACACTTTTTTTTTTTAAAACAAAACAAAACAAAAACGACCTCAAACTTTTTAAAAACCCATTGTTCTTTTTTCACTAGAGACTATTTCTGAAAAAAATTTCCTCTTCCTTTTCTTCAGTATGCAGATTTCTTTTCCAGCATCAATGCTGCAGGACACATCATGACCATGACCAAATGTGCTGACTAGAGACAGGTTGGTTTCCCAAGCAGAGGATGGAAAATTATTCTTGTACTGGTGAGTATTAGCATTATGCTTCCCACACCTGACAGGGACACTTTAAAGGTTTACATTCATTAGCTTCAAGGTCTAAGAGACTTTCATTAGGGCTGAATTTCTTCCATTATTTGCAATTATAAAAGCAAAAGCCATGCACACCCTTGCTAAGGATGCTTAAAAATTTGCTTCCAAATTTTAGCAGCCTAGCAAGCAGTGAAAAACTCTGCCCTTAGTCAGCTAGAGTCTGTACCCAAGAGATTGCCAGTCCTCATGTAAAGCAAAGCTACAGGATTGCACATGATGATGTCCACTTCTGTTTTCCATGAGTTCTTTGGGATCCTTTAAGTGAATCATTTGCAACAAGAGGAACATTCAGCTGTTTTTATATTTTAATATATTTTCTGTACCTGAATAACCATAAACACACTGGGCTTGTGTACTTGGGCTATAAATAAATCCAAAACTTAAGACGTTCCTGTAAACTAAGGAGCATAGTTGAGATCCAAAAATGCAGGCAGGAAAACATTTCACACACTCGAATGAGAGACTGCGCTCCTTACACATGTTTGCTCAGCTAACAACGGACGCAAACAGACAAGTTGTTTACTTTTCATGAGCAAGGTTTTTTCACTTGTAGTGCTACTCTCCTTTTCTTCATAACACCCATTGGTCTTTAAACCTTTTAAGCAACTTTTCATGACAGACATAGTCTGACCAGAAGAAAAAACAAAATAAGAAACACCCTGCTCATCTAGAGCAATCAGTTCTTCATTTATATAGGCATTTATTAATTCTTTCAAGGTCCTTAATATATTGTCCTAGAATTTGTGTAAAGCAAAAAGTATATAATCGTTTGACATAAGAAAATCCTGAATAAAGAAGCAATGCTGTTAATCTTACTGGAAGGCCTTAAGAGTCATTTGTCACCTACAAACTTCACAGCTGCTTCTCCTCTGAGGCATGCAACTTGAAGGTGTAGTTTGGATCCCCTTGTTATCATTCTCTGAGTGAAATAAGAGCTTTTTATATGGACAACCTGGCCAAGCTCACGATGCATATCTGAATTTATGTGCATAAGTCACTGCCCAGTTATCCTCCGTTATATCTCATTTCAAATAGCTGGGCAAATATCTATTGGATAGAAGTGCGATACAGACAGAAGAGTTTTTAAGAGGAATGACTTTTTCTTGTGAGCATCAAAATAAAATAAATAAAAAATAAAAATCAATAACTCAACTGCAGTAAATGAAAACACAAAATTAAATAATTACATTAAATAAAAGTTCTCCTTCATAAAGTGTTACCAAAATGTAAATACTATGCAGTAATGTGCAAAGAATTCAACTGGGGTCTTGTGTATAGCTCTGAAAAACTACAGTTCATAGCAAGGGACAAGACAGAGGAATCAATGTCAAACATAGCAAGTTCTTGGCTACTGTGAGAGGAGGTATGACCCTAACTTCTCTGACAACCTGTTGCTACCCAACAGTGAGCTCCTGCTCTCACCTCCTTTCCCCTTCTCAACTCTGGCTCTAAGCACACAGGGCTGAAAACCTGTTTTTCACACTGTATTTGAAGAAATCAGTTAGAAGATGGAGTGCAAGAACTTCACTAATGCAGCCTTTAAGCGTTTTAAAAACTCCTGGACAATTATAACCTTATTTGAACATACGTCTATAGCACTAAAGTGCACACACAGCACTGCTTGCAGAGACATTTGTCCTACAAAAGCTATTCTAATAGAAGGGGTAGGTAACACATTTGCTGAAGTATTTTCATCAATGCAAATAAATGCCAATCCTACACTAGGCAACTGTGAAAGAAGTTTGCTTTTTCATGTTTTCATCCAAAATCGTCACAGAGCCCAGTTGGTGCAGACTATATTCTTTATGAAAACGTTCTGTGTAACCTAATTTCTAGCTTGAATAAATGAAAGCCAACATGCTGAATTTATAAGCAGGCTGCTGCTTTGCTCAGGAGGGCACAGCCAAGGCTGCGTCTTAAAAAGTCTGCTGAAAGAAGTGGGTTCCTGTCCTTTCAAATGACGATGTATCACCATTTACTAAACCACTTTGTGTCATTTCAAACATTACCTTCTCTGTCTTCCCAGAAGTTTTTATATTTCCTTTCACCAATGATGCAACTTCGCTAAAGATGTCTGAACTAAGCAAAGCAAGCTGCTACAGAGAGTTGTTAAGATCTTATAGAAATAATATTATTCCAAATATTTCATCTACTCCTGCCACAGTCTCAGTGTTTCAGTATTCATTCTGCAGTTTAAAAGAAAAGTAATGCTGATCATCTGCATTACCTAATCTAACCCCAATGTCAAATCCTAATTCAAAATTGTCAAAAAAAGTACAACTTTAATTCACAAAGCATGAACCTTAATTTTTGGCAGTGGTTTCAATAAAAGTTTATGTACAACTTCAAGATTAGCCATCCTGGAAAGTATCTATCAAATGTGGCATGAAAGTCTAAAGGGCAGCAGATAACAATATGTGGAAGTTATTATAATAATTATGAACCACAACTGCACGATTCCAAGTTGAAAGCCGATGCAAAAAGATGTGAAATAACCACCTGCAGAGAAACAATACCTTCTGTGTAAATCATCTCATCTACGTCAATCCTTTAGCAAACAGAAAAAAAGACAAATGGGCCAGAAATAGCTCTCGCTTGTTAGCAGGCTGTACAATTGGAGACCAAATACCTCTGTTACGTTCGAACGCAACACATTGACAGACATCACTGAACACCCGACCAGTACTGACTGACTGATGTTTCTCTAATGAGGACCACTCTACAAGACTGAAGCACAGGGACAGGGCAGATCAGCAGGCTGAGCTGCAGCTTAAGGAATTTATTCTCAGCCTTGCTGTTTGCTCAAGGTTGCATTGCAAAATGAGTCACCAAGGCCCTAGCCTGACAATACAAAGGCTTTGGCAGCAGCCTCAGCTTAAGGATTTCCTGGTCTGCCTTTCCCTTCCAGCCACTCCTGTTTGCTGCCCCCGTGGTTATGCCGACACGACTCTGAATCACACTGTGGCTCCACGTGGTGCACCAGGACCAGAGGGCTGAACCCCTTTACTTTGTTTGGGTTTTTCCTAACACACGTTTTCAAACCCCAAATTAACTCGCTCACCTGTTCTACAGCACACTTATTATCCATGACTGCGTCAGCGCCGCAGCAGAGACAACATGCTGCCGCAGAGGGCTCGGTGGAGGACCACCCTGTTCCACACGCCAGTACTGTGAGAGTCCCCACATGATGAAACTCCAGCCAGAGGTGCTCTGTGCTTCCCCTTTATCTACTGACACTTAGCTCCAAGGAGCAAGGAAAGCTTGCTAGTATTATTTTAATGCACTCCAAGGTACTTTAAAAAGTAAAAAAAAAAAAAAAATATTGTACAAGACAGTCATATACTACAGTAGCTAACAGACCACAGTACTTTAAGAAATCATGAAGCAGACTTTAACCAATTATAAAACATATCCATTGGCAATACTGACATTTATGCATACAGC